CGGGCGGCTGCCCGGGGGCAGCACCTGCAGCTGAGCGCCTCCTTACGGGGTCAGCAAATGGCAGCCTCCGGCCCCCCTCCGGCCTCCCTGCCGCTGGCCTCTGCCGGGGAATTGCAGGTGGGCTGGGGGGAAAAAAAGCCGAAAATGACACTTCAAAAAAAATCATTGTTTTTTTGTAAACATGTTAGAAGTGTCATCATTACAACAAAACCCGTGGAAGGGCTGATTCCCCTTTTCCTTGCCCCTTGCGTTCAGACAGGACTGATATTACCACTTAGAAAGGTTACTGTGTGTCAGCTGCATTAACTGGCCGTACGTGCGCTTCCAGCCTGCCGTAGGCTCAAGACAGGGCAAATGATGTCTTAAGCTTCATAAAAGTGTTCAAAACCCACTTGTTCTACTCCTGTCTCATTTTGTTTTAACCTGAGATTTGTTTTCCAAAAAATGCTTGTCCTTATTTTTGTCAAAGCACAGGGATGTGCAGCTGAGCTGTGGATAAGCCTGGAGGGCACAGACAGTCGTGTGTGACTGGTACGATGCGGTAATCAAAGACTTGGTGGAAAAGGGTTGTGCAAACGCAGTGGAGGGCAGGCTGGTGTGAAAGCTAAAGGCGCTGCCTAGGGTGTTATCACAGCTCAGCTGGGGGACAGTGACTTGCTGTGTTGTAGTAATGCAAAACATGCTTTTGACCAGACAGGAATAATTTTATTTTAAGCAGCAAAGAATGCCCTTATAATCTGGGAACAAGGAGGAAAGAGGATGTGTAAATAAAGACTATGTTTAGCGTTGTCTGGCTTTATGGTGTTTTGTATTCCTAGCCAGTAGTCATCTCTGTTCCTCAATAGTAAGTACTGAAGGTAGGCTTTCCCAGAAGACGCTTTTGTAACAAAACCTCTTGCCCCTTAATTTTATAGGTGCTCTGTGAGGGTGAAGCTGAGCTGAAAGGCTACCACAGCTGTCTTCATCAGGGTAATACTTCAGCTTTCTGGCTTTAAGGACCTAGGCAATAATCCCGCAGGTATGTTGTAAATATATATAGCAACCACTAACAGCCAGTTATATTTTACAGGCAAAATGTTATTCTACAGTTGTAAATTGGCATTGCTGTGACACTAGCAGACAAGAATTTTTCTTCTTGCTTATGCCATAATTTCTTAAGATTCATTTTTTGAATGTAGCTCTTCCCAGTGCAGGAGGTATGAACCCAGAGTATTATTATGTATTTCAAAGACAGTAACAGCAGAGGGAGCATGATTTACCATTTAGTATAAGAAGTTTTTCATTCTAGGTTTAAGTCAGGAATCCAGTCTGTTTATGATTTCCATGCTGTGCATATTGGCAAACTTCCCAAGAAGCAAGCTGTAAACATAGATATTTTTCCTATGACTACTTCTGATTTTTATGTATGATTTTCTGTATGTCTGAGAAATGAGAATGCAGAGTATGGTAGGGGCATGTTCAAGGGTGATCTTGGAATAGAATCAACCCCCACACCTCTGAGACAATGTCTGATTTTAATTAAGTTGCTGATATTAATTGAAAGCAGCAGTTCACTAATGGTAGACCACTTTTATATAAAACCCACCTTCTTTCTGAACAGGAAGTTTTTTTAATACTGTACGAGCATATGGAAGGTTATGTTAAATACCATGATATACTAAAATTATGGGCTTTGCACAGTAAAATGCGGTCTGAATTTTAATGCTGAAAAATAAGCTTTAGTGGAAAAAGAGCATGCAATCTTGCTGTCTTCGCTAACCATGGGATTTGACTCTAGTTTGCTTCATATGGGATGAACTTGCAGACGCTGCAGAGTAAGATGCAAGCAGATTTGCTGTGCCTTAGCATGAATTTTTTGCCTGCTGGAGTGTGGAAGAAGCATTCTTTGCTATGGTTTAAAAAAAAGCTGTTGGGAGCTAATCAAAATGCTTATAGTTTCTAAGGTTATTATAATGATAACACGAGCCGTTCTATATTAGCAGAAATGCATGCAGTTTTGCGTGAATGTACTGTATCCTTGTTAATGCATGCAAATGAACAGCTTTTCCTCCTTTTCTTTTGGCTTGCCTTGAAAAATACAAGGCACTCATGTTGCATTATTTGCTAGGAAATTATAATTGTTTTCAGATGCACATTAAGCCCTTTGGCAAGAAAGGTAGTGGTGTTGGCATAAGCTGTTTTGAGCAGTAAATGCAACGTGTACTGGAGGAAGGAGCTAGGAAGCAGATAGAGAACTCACTTGTGAGGAGGCACCTAATGTTGAAATGGAGCAATGCCTTTCGTGTCTCCCTGGGTATGACGGAGATATTTGTAGCCAGGTAACTAACTGCATGCTGCACTGTCGTGAATTCTGCCATGAGGTTCAAGATATGGCAGCGTGGTCTGGGTGGGGTGCTGACAGGCGTTTGAATCCAAAGTTCTTTGGGCCAGAGGAGGGGTTGAACATTGGAGCATCTGAGTTCATGTGGATTATGAATTTTGGCCCTGAAGTACTTGTTTCAAAGTCCTCAGCCAGTGGTGAAGGTTTGCTTTCTTAGGATAAAATTAATATGTTTCCTTACTATTTAATCATTCTTAAATAATTTTATAGCTGCTATAATGTACCAAGCGTCTCCTGGCTAATGTGTCAGGCTAATCTACAAGACTTGAAATACTGCTACAAGCTGGATGTTTTTTATGGCTGCTTTTCTTATAGAGGTATTGCGAGAAGCTCTTCCTTGGCAACATCCTGAAAATCTGTTTACAGTTCAGCCCATCTTTAGGCTCTAAATAAGTATGTTAAGCAATCTTGCAGTTTTTTGTTTGTACTGTTTTCCACTTAAATATAATTAGCCTTATCTACAGCCGTCAATACTGATAGCAAGTTGTTGCCTGCTTTCGAAGCACCATTGTTTGTCAAGGGGAAAGGGAATGAAGCCAGCTGCACAGCCAGTTCAGTACTTCTCGCTGTATCTGCAAGCAATAAGACAGTGGGTGGAAGGCACTGGCATTTGGAGAAACCCCAAACAAACCTGTTTCATCCAGGAGTCCAACCTCAAATTGCTGTTTGAGGGTGGACCGTTCTTCAGTGCCTGGCATGTGGGCCTCAACTGTATGTGCACCAAGAACCCACCTGTGGCCTGAGGTCACTTTGAAGTAGTGATTTGCTTGTTAGATTTCACCATGATATTTTAAACTTAGATACAACGTGGAAGCAGCTATTTTAGCAGTGATTTTCTAGGTGTCTTTAATAGCATAGGCAAGCACAGAACAGGAGGCAGGCTGTAACCCTTATTTGTGTCATCAGCTTGTAAGTTGTTGCATTGTGATGGTTCAGAAAAATGGTATGTTAGTCAGATTTTGACATATCTCGTTATGATACTTTATCTCACAAACTTTATTCCCCTGTAGGAAAGTGTGGGTATAGGTCTGTAAGAATGGAACCAAACCAGGGAATAGTCTGTCCTAATTGCTTGGAAGAAACCATTGCTCGGGGAGGAAAAAAAAAAAAAAAACCCAAATGAAAAACCTGGAAGAAATAGAAAACCAGATCTGTTAGGAGTAATTAAAATTTGTCATGAAGGAAACACGTTGCAGTGAATGTCTGATGACCTAAGATACTGACAGAGCAGTGACTTCAGCTGTGATCTGTGCTCGGTATTGATAACATTTGGAAGCAGTGAGTTGACAGTTTGCTGACCAGTGATGGTACGCAGGTTTTTGACTGTAATTTCGTATGGATCAATGCAGTATTGCACACTTAGTGCTTTCTCTTCGCTTTTGAGCTATCTGCTATACCTGTTTTAGCTGTTATCCAACTGCATCACTATCTTGAATGTGAACTACCTTGAAGTGGCTGTGAGGTAATGTCATCTGAGTTTTGTGGACTGGAGACTGAAATATAGACTTAGAAAGAAATGCATTCACAAGGGCTGAAATTAACCCTGTGAAACTTTTTCCCCCCGCCTAGTCTTTCAAAAGAGAGGTGACTTTGCCAGAGGCAGTTTGGAGCAGCTAAATCGCACCCCAGTTCCATACCCCCCCTGGAGAAGGCTGATGGCAAAGGGAGTGCTCTCATGTCTGAGTAGTGGAGTGGAAGAATACTGTGGGGTTTTATTCTGGAGTTCGTGTGATCAAAATGAGAGTTCACGATACAGGAAGGGTCACACGCTGGCCTGATCTGCCATAATAAGCCAACAGTAAAGGGTGTGACTTTTAGTCCTTAAATTATATGGACTGGTCTTATGTCGGTTCCACTTAGTTTAATTCTTCTACATAAGAAGTCTGTACAAATTTGGAGCCTGGATGAAGGACTCCCTTTTCTTAGTCCCTGGGTTTTAGTTAGGCTGTCAGGCAATTGAAGGGTTTCTTCTGACTTGTTTTGTTCTTCTGAGCACAGCCTTATCTGGGAATGAAAACTGACATCAGGAGCAAATGATCAGCCATGAGACAGTGCAACTCCCATCTCCAATTACCTATCGTGTGTGCTACTACTATTGCATTTTTTTTTTAAAAAGCTGCAGAATGCATATCAAGTTCCCTTATACACCATTGTGCCAACTGTATGGTACTTGCTGAGGCTCTTTTGTGGGGTGAAGGGGGAGAGAGGGGTTCATGGTTTTTTTAGTCCCTCTAGCTTCAGCATGTGTGGGTAGATGTGCTGCCTTCTGCCTAAAGGAAGGCTCTGTGAGGATCATGCTCTTGTTCTGTGGCATACAAAGGAGACTGCAGCCTATCAGTTTGATCAGAAGTGGGAGCCCTAAAGGAAGTAGATGAGTAATAGGTATTTGTTTCTTCTTCTGACCTGAAAAAAGTCTTCCCTTTGGCTTGTGTGGGAGCTGGCTTGAATCCCCCATGACGGGATATGAAATTCAGAGTGGGTGAGAAACTGATAACCCCAGTCGATGTGCAGTAACTTTTCTTTTATAGGTCGGGTCCATGTTTTTATATCTTCTTGATTAAGAATTTTTAGAAAGCTTATTAAATAAAGAATTCAGTCTAACTTGTGGAGAAAAATTCCATCTTGGTCTATTTTGTCTAGAAGAACCTTTTTTTCCTTCTGCCAGTGCTCTCTGAAGTCTGACAGTACTCTTTCCAGTGGGAGCAATGATTCACTGAGGTCTTATACTCCTAAAGAAGGGTTTGTACAATATCCATTTTGTTGGCTGGCTGGGCACGTTTAAGGGAAGGAAAGGAGCAAAACATTAAGTATCTGTTACTTTATGCAGAGTAGTTTAGCTCTGTCAGTGTTGCTGGAACAGCTTCTTGCTACAGTGAGAACAGTCCCTCAGGTAAGGCAGTTGTGTAAGTGCTCATCTGTGAGGAACCCGTGGCTTTAGGATCCCTGTGCCGATGGCACTCAAGGCAGGCAGTACAGCCAGGGCAGTACAGCCAGGGCAGTACGCTTGTTGTCCTGGACCATCTTACAGCCCTAGCTCGGGGCAGCCCGAACTGCCAGCTTGGCTCCTGCATGGGGGTTTCTTGTAGCCCAAGGCTGAACTGAGCTCAGTGGCTCTGCTCAAGCCTTCTCGGTTTGTTTCAGAGGACTGTTGCAGTTCTCACTTAAGTAAAAGGAGATCCTAAATTCACCTGTCCAGCATGATGTCTTTGCCATTTGAAGATGCTGTTGAAAAAAAGCCAGGAACATAGGCAGTATTTGTCCTACACAGACTTCTTATCTGACATTTCTATGCAGCTAAGTTCTTCCCTTCTCTTTTGAATAAAACTCTTTAAAACATTTGTCTCAATTTAGTTATTGAGGTAGGAGGTGCTAATGTCCCTTCTGCCTCTGGTACCCTCTTTGTTAGCAGATGGTTTAGCTGTGGTGGGGTGGACATGCATACGTGTGTGTACGCACACATGCTCATGCTGTCCAAGAATGTGGTTATAACATTATGCTCAGCCTCCTGTAATTCATTATTTGTGCTGGTTTTCTGAGTAACAGCTGTGAAAAGAATGTGTACAAACAATTTGAAAACCCTGCAGCCAGGTGTCCTGCTTGTTCAAGCAAGAGCCGATTTCTCTGTTTACTGAGGTTTCTGTTTATTGACTCAAGTAAATCTGAGTAGGATGGCAAAGCTGTTAAAGATCTGCTATAAAGACAAGCTGCTAGCTGTAGCAAGTGTTCTTCTTGGCAGATATCCTCAGCCATGAGAGAACATGGTGGGGAGGTGCAGGGCGGAGAATGTAGAGCTGTGTTGTTTTAACTGGAAAATTCCCTTGTAATTGTTTTGCCAGGCTTTGTGTAGTGCATCCAAAAAACCACTCCATGAAACGATGACAGACTATGCAGGTGGACAGTTGCGCCTTAATATATCCAAATTAATGTACTTCCCAAGTGCTCTTGACTTTCTGCTACATCACTTATTGTGGCTTTTAGTATTGGCAGACCTCTGCATGGTACCATTCATTCAGCTTCACTCAGTTCTCAGATTACCCATGTACTAGTTCTGGACTAACTTAAACAAGCAGTTTGGGAATATGTGGTTTGCAGGGGGGTGAGAAACAGAAGAGGGAAAAGCAAAGACCTATTATGATGCTGTGAGACATTTTCCTGCTTACTCATGCTTGCAAACTGTTGTGGTAAATGTTTCTGATTCCTCATGGAGTCTTTTAAAGCAATCAAAAGAATAATTTAAAAAAAATCATCTTGCCATGTGATAATACATAGCAGAGAACAAAGCTATTTCTCATGTTCTTCGTGATGGTAGTATCACTGACAGTGTGTTTGGTGTTTGTCCATGGCACCGGTGAGCTCAGCTGAGGGTTTCTGTCGTGCTGTGGGCTTGAAAAACTGTCTGCTCAGGCTGGCTTTCCCTTCCATGCCCTCGGTGGGCTGTGCTCTTAGAAATGTAACAGTCTGCTTTCAGCCTCTGTCTTGAGGGGCTGGGTTTCTAAGCTGGCACAGCCTTTGAAATACAGAAGTCATAAGGGCTGTGCCCAGAGGCCAATATGTTGGGATGATGCATCTTGAATAAGCAGAGTTGGAAATTTCACTTTCAACTTTTCCAACCATTGCTGCCACTTTCATGCTATGAAAAGCTATACTGCTCTATTTGGCTTTCTCACTATTTGTATTTCTGGACAGTTTTTATATAACTGAGTTTCACAGCATGCTACATGTCTGACCATTTAATTTAGACTTTTATTATTATTGGAATATAATACAACTTTGCATACTCTCCTGTTTTCCAGCTATAATTATGCATGACGTGGAAGGCATTGAGCTGCCTTTGCAGAAGATCTTGTTCTCACTGTCTCTGTGGACAAATATATCGCTTCCATTACTTCTGTCATGTGGGTCTTCCATGGACTGCAGTGTCTTCCATGTAAATCCCAAAGAGTATACCATGTAGCATTTGATACTGTTGAGGAACAGCTCCTGTGGTTAAAGACAACTTTTTTAAACTTTACTGGTTAGAATTCAGTCTTTCAAGGACATAAATAATTTTCATGAGGGTGAAATGACTGAAGATGAAGATTAATGCTTTGGGGTTTTTTTGTCACAAATAAGTTAATAATTTTTACTCCTCCTTTTCCTTTTAATTTGTTACAGGTTTGAGCTATCTGGAAGATGAAGCCCTGGCTGCAGTTGGTGTTCTTTACCTGTATTTTTTTGATCTGGCACACAGAAGCAGAGTTCTTCACCTCCATAGGTATGGAAAGAACCAATGCATGATGTTGTGATGTAGGTAATGTGGTTGCCAAAACCGTTGAAGTTTACAGTTGGAGCATATGGCTTTCTTCGTATGGCCCTATCAAACACTGTCCGTGTTAGGAAAACCAATCTTCTGCATCCTCGATGCTGTCCTGCATTGCAAGTCTTGCATCAGTGCAATTTGTTTGCAGTTGGGTTAACTTAGCACATTGTGACCAACATGATACAAGTTTCTCTGGGGACTGTCAGTAAAATAGGACAGTGCCTGTGTTTTGTTAAGAATTGTGCACTTGTTGTCATCTTGAACACAGCACAAACCCTGTGCTAAAAAGCTTAGTCCTGAATTTATGACTTATGCAAAGAATTTAAGTGATGAATATGTGAAATTTTCTTTCACAGAACCTGAAATCTACTGTCTTCTCAAAGATGGAATGAGATGTCAGAAGGAAAAATTAATATCCCCTTTACCTTATGTGTGTTTTGTAAAACCTGAGTAAATCCTAAAGAATTCACATTGTTATAAATCCTGAAAATAGATTCATTTTTATGACAATTTAGTTCTTGTCTTCTAATAGCTGTGATACAACCATGTATGATTGTGGTAGACCCTAAAAATAAGGACAAACTGAGTTTTCTGCTGTGACTTGGTCTGATGTTTTCTGGTGAAATAGTGTGGGGAATTTACCCCCATAAGGATAACAGACTGATTAACTACAACTGGCTGTTCTCCAGAATATGCTTTGAGCTCAGTGGAGCTATGTTTCTGAATGGTACAACTCAAAACTCCTGGTGGTTTACTTTGCACCACTGTGTGGAACTGCTCAGCCAGAGTGAGGCAGAGTGGTGTTTCACTACCAACCCCCAGCACATGCTCCTGGGCTCTGGAGTTGGCTAAACAGTAGTTAACTATGTGTGTGTTATTTGGTTCTCTTTTTTTCCTAAGTTAAGCAGCTTTTTGTACAAGGTTACTGTGAAGGATCACCTTTTCTTTACACTTACCTATTCCTGAACCTTTCCGAACTCTGAAAATAGCACAGCCTGCTGACTTCCATCTGCTTAATCATGCCTCATTAATAATTACTTTGGAATGCTGAAACCAAAGCTGTGGCTACATTTATAAATCTCATCCGGTCTTTTAGCGTTTGGTCTTTGAAAAGCAAAGTTTGTCATAGCAATTAGGATTGACATGCTAGCAATTTCCACTAATGCTAATCAGGAGAGAGTGTGTGTGTCTATAAACATTAGCCTGAAATTCCTCTGTACTTAATGTTAGGTTGTGTTTCCACAGTTACCCATATTGAAAAGCTGTAATTTTAAGTGATGCCAATGGTTAGACTAATAATTTATTAGTGTGACCTAATCTGTATCCATATGTAGAACAGATGCTTTGGCAACTATTTGAATCTTTCATTGCTTTCGCTCAATAACTGTATTAATGTCAAACCTTTCTTTTGATTGTCTTGCATACAATTGTAATACTAAAAGTAATTCAGAGGCAGTGGAAGGGTCACAGCAAAGCTACATGAGCCATCGAAGTTGGGATTTTAAAAGCCCCTTGAAGCACTTGAATGCCAGACCTGTATGTATAATAGCTCTTGTGGTTTACGGGCATTGAAGTGCGCACCCTTAATTTGTCTGTTCTTTGTGGTGGTTTTAATAGCCCTAGAGCATCTAAGGTCTGTCTTCTGTGCTGCTGGGAATCGTTACTTTTTTAGGTCTGATTAACATTTGCTTGTACTCTGTTTTTAGGTCAAATGACAGACCTGATTTATGCGGAGAAAGACCTGGTACAGTCTTTAAAGGAATATATCCGAGCAGAAGAGAACAAGCTCTCTCAGATTAAAAGGTAGGGGGGAGAGGTTTGCATAATGAAGGGTGACAAAATAGCTCATCTGTGTTCAATTACACCACACCTTTCTGTCACCACTCTTTGCTGCTGGATCTTGTTAGTATTTCCTCAGTAGGTAATCACAGTGAGACCATAGGTACTAACTTGATTGTAATTTATTCCCATAAACCTGCAGAGAGGGGGCCCTGCTTCAGATATTGTTTAGACTTTGCTTGTTTAGAAACTGTTGTCTGCTGGGCTCTTCCCACTTTTCCCTGTCCTTGTACCATCACAGTGCTCCTGGGCAGAAGACACTACTCATGTCAGAGGAGCCTTGTCCATGTGAGTTAAATGCCTGTGGGTGCCAGTGCTCTGTGCTACCTGTTGTTTCACAGCGTCAGCACTGCTCACAATGGCGAAGTGTGCCAGTTGTGTTGTTTAGGGGAGCACACACCGAATCCCTGGCTTCCTTCCCGTGTTGGCTTTGCTCTCAGGGACAGCCCTCCTGCCTTGTTCTCTTCAGTCGCAGGCCTGGCTACAGCACATCTCGGACAGTATCCTATTTGCTTAGATGACTCGAAAGGCTCTTGCTGACAACTGGTATTTTCTGTGTCCCTTAAGAAGACTGTTAATACTTACGTAGCTGAAAGTGATATCTAACGGGGTGTGACACTAGAATAGGTCCAGGTTCAGAAGAGCTGAGTGCCACTAAATGGAGCCATGCTTTCCAAAGTTTTTCTAAACTCCAGGCTGTATGTGGCAGTTTGATCTCCCTTTGGGGGTGTAGGGTGGGGACAGGGCAATAGAGTAAGTGAAATGATAGGAATTCCTTGTCACTCGTGTACACAAATGTTCATTTCTTGAAAAACTGCCCTTTTGAGGAAAAGCAATCTCCCCTTCGAGTATTGTTAGAGAATGTCAATTCAATCTGTGTATAAACTGGTCTTTTTTTCAAAGAAAGAAGTCTCTTCATGAGATACGTTTGTTTCAAAAGCACATTGTGATGTGAATAAAGAGGCTAGAACTTGACAGTATTTACTTCTTTGCAAAATAAGTATTAGAAATAATGGAAGTCTAAATGAAAAAGAGAGTGCAGGTGCGACTGGTCTTAATATATGTTGTTAATCTGATATCCCTGCAAAGGATCTTTGGAAAAAACATCTTTTGTTCTGTTGTAACATCAGTCTAGAGAAGAAGCCAGGTAGTCTGACTATTTACCAGTGTTTATGTAAAATTGTTTGTAACCATAGTTCATTCATGGCTTACTGAGTTTGAGATGAGAGGCTCAAAGGGGGTCTCTTATTTTCAGTTATTAGCTTATCTCAGCAGAGTATTTTCTTCCTATTGAGTACTGAGAGGGGAGCACACGGCTGGGCCAGATGTTTGTGTTAAGGGATAATGTGAAGAGCAACAGAAGAAATTCTCACTGTAGCATCAGCAATGTAGTTGGCAGTTCAAATGTACTAAACACAGAGGGTGAAGTTTCCCACTACTGCTTTGAAGCTGACCAACAGTGCAATCTAAGTGACTGACAGCACTGCCACTGTACTGTCTGATGGTTTCCAGTCTGAAAATCAAAGCTTATGGTTTACTTCCCATAAAGCTAAAAAGCTCTTGAGGTTTCATTCTTGTATTTTTACTAAGATAGGTAAGTGACACTCACAGTGATTGTGTGTGATATCTCATTGTTTTCTGAAGTGCAGTGTGCTGAAAATGGATGGCTAAGACTCATTGCAAGTGAGATGCATGCCCACTGTAGTAAGGTTTAAAATAGTAAGCAGGGAAATAAATTCCTTTTAAAAGGAAAAGACTATTGTAATTAAAAAGATCAGTTGTACTTCACTTTATCCTTGTGAAGCTGAAGGCTTGAAAGCTGGTTATGATGGCGAAAGCAGCAATAAATTGATTCTAGCTGTGTAATTAGGATGACTTAAGAAGGAAGACATGCATTCATAAATTGTTCTCAGACTGAGGCACACACTTCTTGTTCCAGCTGGGCTGAAAAAATGGATGCACTGACTAGTAAATCAGCCTCTGATCCAGAAGGGTATCTGGCACATCCTGTAAATGCATATAAGCTGGTGAAGCGTTTAAATACTGACTGGCTGGAATTGGAAAACCTGGTTCTTCAGGATACAACAAATGGTAAGTAGTTACAGGGGAGAAGATATCAGTAGGAGGTAGCCTTATGACGCAGTTGCTTATCCTCCTTGTATTCTGGAAAGCTGCAAACTCAGCTGTGGCTTAAATATTATTGCCAAGTTTGTTTGGAACTTAAACTAATGACTGGCCTCTTGTTTACTAGTTACCCAAGTGAGTGAAACTTGCCACTGAAACACATCTGTCAAGACTCAAAGAAGCTGTTATCTGTCTTAAGCTGTTACATTGTTTGGCTTGTGCTGTTTGAGGCAAAGGGGAGAATAGGATATACTGAAGTGGTCAGCTGTGTTGGCAACTCTTCTTTTATGCCTAGTCTTGAGCTTTATGTTCCTTCTATATAAAGACTTGCTCATCTGCTTTCCCAGTCTGCCGCTTTTCTTGGTGATCACTGTTTTTTGACCATGTTCATGAGTAGATAAGACTTAAGAATCAAAATATGAGACCCATACTGAATTGGGGAAGGAATTCATATCAGCCCCAGCATTAACAGTTGGCAGATGTTGTAGTCAGTCTTATAACAGGATAATATACAGTTACTATCTGTGAACCTGTCCTTCTAGTATCAAATGTTTCCAGTACGAATCTTTGCTTTTGCATCATATTGTCAAAGTGTCTGCCTGAATTTGCTTCCATAGCTTTTTTTAATGCAGGTTTATTTTTACTGGACTCCTTAAAAGTAAGGGAGAAGAGATTATGTTTTTCAGGCAGAACACTGCATGTTTTCCCTTTCTACTCTGCATATGCTGAAGTTTAGGTACTTGGAAGTTTTTTTCCAGCCAAGATTTTTATTGCCTTTTGGAATAGTCATCCTAGATGGAAATAAAATACTCAATTCTATTGATTACTTCTGTCATCAGTTCTTTTTCTAAAGGCTTCCTTTTTTCAGTTCTGTTTGCTGCATGACTAGAAACGGCTGGGTTGTTTTCCTTCAGTTGATTGCCCCCACTTCTGCCCAACCAACCTGCTGTACAGTCTTGATATATTTATGTAGTGCATTTAATTTTATTTCTAAATGTCACCTGTTTTTACTTGTCAGGTTTAAAAGCCTCTAGCTGAGTAAGGTCCTACCCCTACTTAGGGGATCCTGGGTCAGGGTCTCTGTCTCTTGAGCTGAGATTTGAAAAGCTCTCGTGGCTTTACAGGTTGGAGTAGAGAGTCTGAAATCATTGTCCGGTACTATGATCTGCAGTTGTCTCTGTGGATATTGCAAGAGAACTGATGAAAGCTACTAAGTTTTCATGCTAGAAGGAGACGTTACAGGAGAATGAAGATCATTAGATTCACGTTGTACTTTAGTAATTGTGTGGCACAAGAAAATGGAGGGGTTTAGTTACTTATCCTTTATCTCTTGCTTGTGAGCTATATTTCTTAAAATGAGACAACAAATAATGTTTTTGTAACTTGACAGCCTAATAAGAGGCTTTAAACCTGGATTATTTGAATCTCAATTCCCAAAACAAAGCAGACGTTTCCTCTTTCATGTTGATCTAGTCCTGATATTTATTCAAACTCTGGAAGTAACATCTTTCCCTTTTACTGCAAAGGCTTTATTGCAAATCTTACAATTCAGCGTCAGTTTTTTCCAACTGAAGAAGATGAGACTGGAGCTGCGAAGGCTTTGATGCGCCTGCAGGACACCTACAAACTGGATCCTGAAACTCTCTCTCGAGGAAACTTACCAGGTAGGTGCACAAAGGTCTCCCCTGCTTTAACAGGAAGGAAGTAGTAACATCCTTAAACTCTCTCCAAAAGTCATTTTTCAGTAGTGAGGAAGAACCATGGTGGTGAAAGTCCACGTGGCTTAGATGCTTGCGGACATATCTACTTCAGCACTTTGAGAACAACCTTCAGGTTGTTCCCACCTGAGCCAAGGCGCCATGGTCTGCAGTGACTAGCTCAAGTAGCATCTTTTTAATTAGCATTAGTTTAAAAGAAAATGCTGATTTTTATAATTGCTATACCAGAACAACAAAGGACGACATAATTTCTTGTGCTGGTTGCTGTGTAGGCAAATACCATGGGTACTTCCTGTCCCCAATGACTTATGAACCGAGGGAAGGAGCTGCTTCATAATTCATTGCCCTGATGGCTTTTACAAAGCTTGGCTCTGTTCTGGTTTGCTACGGTCTTCCAGTGAGGCTTTGGTTGAATCACTTTGCTCCTGTTCTCTCTGCGAAATGGGGGCTAACAGTTTTTACCACAGAGAGATGTTTTGGTAAGTGCATAGGTATGTTGGGATGCTTCTGTGTTTTGGCAGCTGAATCCTGATAAATGTTTTTTGCTGCTGCTTGTGAGAGACCTACTGAAACAGGTTATGGTTGCGAGCAACACACTGTTTACAAACTGATTAGGCTTCATTAGAGTGTGGGTAGATGAGTTGACAAAACAGTTTTAGTTATATGTAGGTTATTAACAATGAACCTTAAAATTAAACCATATCTATGCATCTGCTGAGCTGGAGCAACTGGAAATCTGCACAGTTACAGTCAAATGGATACCCAGTTTGTCTAAATAACAATCAGCTTGCTTATGCACAAACATATGTCTCCAGTAAAGAGCAAACAAGCTAGCTCTGCATATAGTCAGGCTTCTCTGATCATCTAACAGTGTAATTTGTAGGTTCAGTAAAATCTGTTAAGCTGTTAGTCTGCTCTGCCTTTGCCTAAACAGAAAACAAATAGCTTAACACTAATTTCTGTTAAACTTCTCTTGGTTTCCAAAGGAATTAATGCCACAGAATTATGATAGAATATGATCTTTAATTCTGAAGGTTATCAATTTGGTACATAACCTAAAATATTGTCAAAGCATTGTCTTTTAGAAGCCTGTTTGGATGATAAAAGTGTGTATTTACAGATATTCCTCAATGTGCCCCACGTATTTGAAGGCAAAGATGCTTCTGTGTGGATTGCTTAAACTATCTTTTTGTTTTTAGGAACAAAATATAGATCCTATTTGACAGTAGGTGACTGCTTTGGTATGGGCAAAACTGCTTACAATGATGGAGACTACTATCACACAGTACTCTGGATGGAACAAGCCTTAAAACAACATGATGAGGGGGAGGATACAACAGTCAGCAAAGTGGAGATCCTAGATTATCTCAGCTATGCTGTTTTCCAGTTTGGGGATTTGCACAGAGCCATGGAGCTTACCAGACGTCTGATATCCCTTGGTAAGAACAAAAACCCCACTATTCTAGCGTTGGTGAGTGTTGCCAAGAACAAGTCCAAGAACAGTCATGGCCCATACATATTGGTGAGCTGACTGGAAGGATATCCTGCCAGATGACTTGTAATAAACATAGGTCCTGGGAAAAAAAAAGTCTACTTATACATGAGGTATCTTTAACAAGCTACCTTATAGTCCATGCTGTTATTACCCAAAGACCAAACGTGTGTCTGACTGCAGTACCTGTGTGCTTTGCTTCAGTGTACTGAGATGTTGTGTTTGGTAATGGTTAAAGCCTGGGTTGTCTCAAGTGGCAATCAAGGCTACCACAGATTTAGGTAGAGTAATGTATCTTCTGTGAAGTCCTACGGACTTCACGTATTCCTCTTTCTTCCTCAGTGCAGGTACTCTTTGATGCCAGAAGAACGCTTTGCCTGAGATCTTAAAGTATTTATTTCTGAATATTCAGAATGGATTGAGTTTCTTAAAACCTCTTTATCTCTGGTCCGTTTCTAGTTTTCTCTTGAGTAAGCAAATAAGCATTGCTTCCTATACAAGTTTGCCTGCTTCCTGCATTGGAAGGGTTTATCCTCTCCAATTAGAATTAGAATTAACATCTACTGTGTTATGTATTTGTATGGTTTTTTTTAATCATCTGTGGTTCTTAATTTTAGATGTTAACTGCATCCTGAGAGTGGGTGAAGCCTTTCTATTGGAAAATATGTATCAGTCTAATTTCTGCAGACACTGGAATTCATAGATTAAAATTTACAAGAATATGAATATGTATTGAATCTAGCTCCCTCTGCAATAATAGGGTTTAGCACTGACAGAATACAAATCCTTATCAGTGCCAAACAGTGGAACAGCCTTGGCAGTCCCCTCTGGGAGCAGCAGCAGCTTCTGCTCTGGGCTTAACTTCCTTATCTGGCCACTATTAGCCTATGCTGTAATGAGTGGTTACTTCTGTGGCCTTCTGAGTGAATTAAATAGCATAAACAGAATAAGCTTGGGAAGGTCAGAAGGGAAAGAAACTGTTCTAGGTGCTAGTGTCCAGAAGCACTTCATGGTGAACAGGGAATTGTTCCTTCTTAGTTATGCTGGGTAAAGATCTATCGATGATGTCAATTGATTCGTACCAACATCATTAATAAATCACTAATGATAGGTCTAATGATGCTAGTGATCCAGGATGTCTCTCATAAACCTGTTACAAACATCTAGAGATGGATGCTGTAGGTGGGCTTTAAAGCATGCTTGTGCAGTGCAGATGAGAAACATTGTGGAGAGGAGGGGTGCAACAAGTAGACTAGCTTGATCTCTGCTGATGAGCTCTATGATCTGCTTATCTTGGGTAGAACTGGGCAGAAAAAATGAGAGAAAAGGAGGGATGTGAAGACCAAAAACTCCTACTCTTTTTTCATGAAATACAAGTTCTGTGATAGGTCCTTCCAGAAATTATTCTTGCACAGACTATGCCTATCTTCCCTCTGCAAAGACAGAAACTTCCCAGCACTGGTTTTCAGTGCAGACTGGAGCCAATGCCTTTGGTTGCCTGATAATGCTTTAAGAATGGGAGAATTATTGCTGTCTTGATATGAAGACTTGTTTGTATTAACAGTTCTTGAGACTGTGTGAATCACTGGTTCTGTCTGTTTTTCTCCCAATTAAGACAGTACTCATGAGAGAGCAGGCAGTAATCTGCGGTACTTTGAGAAATTGCTGGAGAAGGAGAGAGAGGAGAAGTCAAACAAGACCATGACAACGACAGAACCAGTGGTGCAAAGTGGTGCCTATGAGAGGCCTCTTGACTACTTGCCGGAGCGTGATATCTATGAGGCCCTTTGCAGAGGTGAAGGGGTAAAAATGGTAAGAGAAAGGCAAGAATTTCCTGACTATGCTGCCTTTGCGTAAAGGTGATCAAGCTTGGTGGGACATGTTAAGTTTTTCTTTCTGTGAAGCTGGTTTTTTGGGGGGGTTTTTTGGTTGTTTTTTTTTTTTTTTTTTGAGAAAAAATTAAATGTAGTTCTGTCCAGGCTGAGATTTTTACCTTACGTCTTGGCCTCTATCTTTAGCTGTTAATCCTAGACAGAAAAACAGCTCTCAACTGCTCCTCTTGATTGTTGAAAGATTGAAAATTGATTTTCCTCAGTTTGTCTACTCAGCCATTTCAAATGCCGGCTGTACAGATATACTAGGAGTTTTTTTCCACTGGGAGCTGGTTATGCATTGCCATGCTTAACGGAATCACATTATTCCTTCCCTTTTGCATCTTAAAGACTTGTCCTTTTGGGGTGACTATTTTGACCAGCCAGTCTCCAGTACCTCTCAACAGACGTGGCTTTAACTCTCAGTACAGGAAAAGGAATCAATTTATTCCATCTGCATAGTCTTAATTATAAGAATCAGACTTTTTTACAGCTTGCTGTTTGTGTAGTTATTTGCTTAATCTGTAACCTATTATGATTTAATTCTACTAAAGGTTAGTATTTCAGATGTTGCTCAGTGGTATCTTGGATGGCTTATGTTGGTTTTTTATTTGCAGTAAACTGCCAAATCACTCGTGCTTACCTCTTAAATTTGCTTGTCAGCTGATGGCTTTTACAGTGTTTGTGGAATGAAGCTCATTTTCTTTTGTCTTGCCTGTTTTAAATTCATGAGAAGTGGTTAAGCAAACAATGTTTTGTTTGGCGTTTTGTTTCAGACGCCTCGAAGACAGAAAAGGCTGTTTTGTAGGTACCATGATGGAAACAGAAACCCTCATCTGCTCATAGCACCCTTTAAGGAAGAAGATGAATGGGACAGCCCTCATATTGTGCGATACTATGATGTCATGTCTGATGAAGAAATTGAGAAAATTAAACAACTGGCTAAGCCAAGGGTAAGTTTCCCCTCTTCCATCTCATTAATGACTGCGAATTCCATGCTTTAATCTCTATTAGCAAAGACTAGGCAAAGGATTTGAAAGATCTGGCTTCATACTACAGATGATACACTGCAGCTGTGAGCCTAAGGGGAATGATTTCGAAAATGCCTGGTGATGTAGGACCATAAAGCCCAGGCTCCTGAAGGTATTTATGCATTGTTGCACTTAATTTTGCAAAGTTCTTGGTAAACAGCTTAGAAACCTTTTAGGAAGCTAGGGACTAGACCTGAAAAGGTAGATGACTGACTGGCTTACAGTGATAGGAGTAGGTGTCCAATATACCTTAAGTCTGCCTTTTGAAATGGAGCCAAACTTCAAAACAAAATTAAAGCCCAAATCCCAACAAGTGGGAAGAAATAATGGGTTGGTTGTTTTTTAAGTTGTGCTAGAAGAATATCTAGAGGTTTGTTTTTTTTGCTTTGGGTAACCTGGAATCCACTGCTTCTGTTTTAAACCATAGTCTAGACCTGCACAGAGGCAGGCACTTTAGATGCCATGGCGCATCCATGAGCGGAACTGTGGTGTTCTCCTGAAGCCACACACAGGTCACTGGGAATAATGTGATACAGTTAGCAGAGTGGAAAAATCATTTGTGCTCTTAAGTAATTCCCACTCCAGGACTTGGGAAGGACAGAGTACTTGTAAGGATGAATGCACAATGCAGTCATTCTCCCAGAGCACTTCAGATCTGACTTTTCCACCTAAATAGCTGTCTGTTGGGCAGCAGAGAAACAGATGCGACAGCTTCAGTATGCTAAGTGTAGATCCAGCTCAAAGGCAGCAGCTTTGAGTGGGAACCCCAGTTTTGGTGCAATACCTGTTACCCATGGTGTGAATTCTAGTGACTGTGCATGCAATAAAAAAGCAGCTACCGAATGTAAAGCTAGTAATTATCTTGTCTGATTTTTCTGGAGGTGGAATTTCCTGTCTGTTTCCTTTCTGGCAAAAAAAGTATGGCAGTGTGAGGTCAGTAGCAGATGCTACACCTTACTTTTCTGTCAGGTCTGACAAGCGTGTAAAACTAAACGTTCTATTTTTATAGATGAATGGTTCGTTTTAGCATTCTTCTAGCTACTGCTGTGAAACGTGGTACTAAAAATTCCAGTCAAGAGTTAGCCTTCTGTATGCATTTCTAAATGTAAACATAAATGGTTAGAAACAGTTTGAGAAACTGGTGCTTCCTGAGAACATTAATAATTTGGGATGTTTGTGAAGCTGGACTTCTATGACTACTAGCCAGCTATGGGAGTGTTGGCAGAACACTCCTGCCTCGGAGAGGACTCTTGCCTCCATAAATGGAGACTTTTTTCCTATTACATCATACTATAAAACTTCAGGAGCTTCAGATAAAATGGAAACATTCAAATAAAGCGTATCACTTAATCCATTTTATCAAATTAAGCACAGATCCTAAATAAGGCAGCTATTAATTTTTTTTTTTGGTTTTCCCTTTTTGTTCAAAGCTTTATGGAAAGTATTAAGTCTTGCTTACTGAGTTTTGCTTACATTACTAATGTCAGAGGAGTTCTTCATCTAATCTGTGTAGTGTAGAACTGGGATCAGTCCCTGTGAGTAGGTAAATATTGTAGTCTTAAGATTCAGGTGAAAGTTTTCAATTAAAAAAAAAGCAACCTTTTTCTTATAGACAGATTTAGAAAAAACAAGTTATAGCTCAGTTGCAGGAATAGCTTTAAATTCTGCAGTACTACTGAAAGAATGGAAAATGCAAGTCCTGTGATGAGATGGTCCTTAATAAATGTAACTTAATTTCAGCCAGGAAATTTTAGTTAGTAATCATGGAAGCTTTCAGACCGAACTCTGAAGTAGTATGTTAGTTTTGGGCTCAGAAAGATGAGCACTTCCTTTGTTCTAAAATGCATTTGCAAGAAACTTCTACTTTTGGGTCCAAGTGCTTTAACATTATCTGCAGTTTACACTTGCCAATATTTTTTGTTTTGTAGAGAAACAACATCTGTACGTGATTGAGAGTAGCTGTATTCAAGTTGGTTTTCATGCTTGTTTTGCAAAAATGTAATCATTTTTACTCCATTTCCAAAAAGTAGTTCCAACTTTTCAGGCAATATATGAGAGCTGACTGGGAAGGGTCAAGAAAATTCATAACCATTGGTGTGGATAGCATTGGGACAGATCTGCCATGAAAGTATGAGAACCTTATTCCCAAAACTCTGGATG